GGGGGCAGCGCGCCCTCCCGCCGCCGCCTCCCTCCCCGCCGGCCCGCCGAGAAAATGCCCCTTCTCGCCGGCGCGCATTGGCACAAGGTGCCTGCTGCACCCTGACATCTCCCTGAACTCATTGTGATTTAAATAACAGCCCTTTCTCAGCTAAACAAAGCATCTTAATAGCAGATGCAAAGAATTCAGCTCGTCTGAAAATCCAATAGCATTTAAGTGGATTAACTGCAATAACACAACTGAGGAGTGATACTATCCTTCACGGAAGACAATAGACTGTAAATGCACAGCCAGGGAGACTTATCCTTTCATCTCTGAATTTCCTTCAGCATTTCAAAAGCGAATGCTTTCTAGAAGCCCTGAAGGGGTTTGCACGCTACTGGCTTGGACATGCTTCTAGGAAACAACCTGTGCTTTAATGGGCACTTTGCAATTGCATAGAAGTTCCCACCAAAACAGAAGTGGCCTTTCAAGTACGTGTAATTCTCTCTCATGATGTCATGTAGACTTACAGGGTGGTCTCCAGGACCACAAGGGGGGGAAAAAAGGTGGGGGTTGAAAAGGGAGAAAAGGAAAAGAAATGTAAAAGATTTGGAAGCACTTTAAAAAGGGGAATGCCTTTCTTTCCTCCCCCCCCCCCCCAACAAACCAACGCTGAGCCAGTGTGGAGCCATTCCCAAATGCCTTCTGATAAAAAAAGGAAAAAAAAAGAGAAGGGAAGAAGGTTCGAGTGCCACATTGCAGCAGACCCGTCCTCGCCGGCTGCTCTCAGGCCAGCAGGGTAAGCTGGAGGCAGACCAGAGCTGGGCACTTTGGTTGTTGCCATCACTTTCTTACATAGCGGTTGACATCACAGAAGCAAAAAGTGATGACTTCAGTTTAAAAACTTCTAATCTGCACTTATCATTTGCTGGGGTTAAAGAAACAACTCCTATGGTCCGCGTTGTCATAGTAATAAAAATAATAATTACCAAACAGTGAAATAGATTCTGACAGTACCGATCTCACTGAGCATTTACTCCTCTCTTTCCTTCGTTCATTGGCTAATGTGTATCTGGCATCAGCATTGCTGGGTGTTTGTGTGTAGCTCTTTCAAGTGATGTTCCTCTACTAAAGCCAACATGGAGAGAACTTCTAATTTATCTATTGTTAAGAAGTCTTTGCAGTTTTGATTTTTCTTGCATTTCCCTCATTTTTATGAGAAACATACTGCATCAGCATCTTTTTTAAATCTGTCATTGTTGAGCTCAGATAAGCATCTTTACCCTGGGTCAAGTTACACTTGGAGTAGCTTTTAACATTAGACTGTTTATATGGATCATTGCAAATATTTGATAATAATGCAAAATATGTAAGATCCCAGAAGAGACCCAAGACCAGAGAACGTGAATAAAATTCACACACAGATTCTGAAAACAGCTTTATACTTGGGTTGTCTCTCTCCTTATGAAACAAATTTTTCTCCTTGGGTGTTGTGTGATATAAGAATGCATTTGCTCTAAGTTGTGAGAGTTTTTATAAAGCATGCAAAACCATTTCTGTATGAAAAACGGTGTACAAGAGCAATGGGGAATGCAGTTTATGTCTGCACGGCACCCTTCCTGCAGCCTGCAGGTCTGTTAGCCCTGTGCGTACCATACGTGTCCCATACAGCCACACACGTGGAAAGAGTGACAGGGTGGTATTTATAGGTTTAAAAGAAAATCAGGACAGATAACAGAGCATCAGAAAATTATCTTTTGCCCCTTTTTTTATGTATTTGACAGGAGCAAGCAAGATGTTACTGGTCTAATTTAAAGGTGCTGCACATACTGTTAGAAGTCCCTCAAACGTTAGGAATTAGCCTAGCATCAGACCGTTACAGACAGTGGAGAGGGAGGACCTCAGGCTCGGTGCAGCACTTGGCGAGGAGGGGGAACGTGCTGAAGCTCCTTCATACAGACACAAAATGAAACTACTTCAGTGGCACGAGCGGTTTCTGCAAGCGGTGACGCATAAACCCAGGGTGCCCCTAAATGACGTTTCCAGCCCCATTTACACCTCGCGTTTAAAGCAGCGCAGGCTCAGGTGTCAGAAACGCGGCTAGGTCAAGCTGCCTGGTGGGACCACCTCCTGTTTCAGAGCAGCTTCGCGGGCTGCGGGCGGGTGACAGCCGCCTCGCAGGAAGGGTGCGTGGGCTGGGGGGGGCCACCGAGCCGTGGCGGGAGGGCGTGCTCTCCAGGACTTTTCCTCATTGGTAATCACATTAAAATGAATAAGAACAGAATGAGTTTTGGCTAGTTTTTTTTTGGGGGGAGGGACACCTCCTTTTATGATAGTGGGCTGTTTGGGGCTATCCAAAGCGATTAAGTGCATCCTGCTAGATACGTCCTGTCACGGCAGCTGAAAATGCACCAAGAGCAGGGAGGGTCCTGGCTCCAGCAACGGACCGTAAGAAACGTTCTCAGAGGTTCAGACCCCGCATCACTGAGCATCAGTGCTGAACGATATAATGCCAGGATAAAAGTTCAGGAAGTCAAACCCAGAAAGGTACACAGGAAGCTGTGTACCACTTTGGGTGGTTTCTCTCTGTTCCCGAATGTTCATTTCTTTGGCTTGTAGTTTCAGAGGGACGCGTGCCAATGGTGAGGGTAGGTCATCTTCCTTCTTGCTCGACTGGCACCTGCCTTGGGAAACGGGTACAAAGATGTCCCCGGTGGGAGTGAAGCGTACAAACGCGAAACGGTCTTACAGCAGGAAAAACAGGCTCTCGCCTGAAACTTGGCCCAGGAAGAGCAACAAGGCAAGATGCAAGGAGAACAAGCAAGACAGTTGTTATTCCAGCTGTTATACCTACAAATATTATTTCCTCCTTTTCCAGCTCTTCCTTTTGGATCCTTTCATCGGCTCCGTCCCTCTGGCGGAGCTCTGTTTGCTTTGAAACTTTCTTTGGTGCAGCTTTCCAGATGCTTTCATGGTTGATAATTTTCAAATAATCACAAGATGCAAATCTGCTACGAGGTTTCAGTTAAGCGGAGGGATCAGAAAAGGCTCCGTAAAGCTACACAGTGCTGCAGAAAGTGAATACACAAGGTAGCTGTGTCCTGTTTGGCCTGCGTGGGTCAATAACTCCAAGCCATGATAGTTCTGGAGACGGTTTGCTCTGCTGGGAACGGAACAGGTCCCATGGGAGCCTTCAGTGGCAGGTGAGACCCAACTCTGCCCGTAGCAGTGGATTGGCAGGAGCCACGGCAGCATGACGCCCTCTTCACCTTCGGGCTGGAGCCCGCGCTGGCAGCCCTGCCAGCCCAGGTAGCAAGAGACCACGGTTAGGTGTTAAACTAGGCCACTTGCATAGCAGCCCCGGGCACCGTTTTCGTGGGTGTAGGAAGTTGCTCCTGGCTCTCCATCCCTATGGGACAATGGAATCGCTGCAAGTCCAGGACACCTTCTGCCCGGTGGATTTGGCTGTTAA